CATCTGACCCCCACTGATTTCAGCAGTGATCAAAGGCAGTGCTATTTCTGGCCCGCCCTGGCCTGAAACCGAGTGGAAACTCAGAGTGATGGAGAAGCAACAAGAAAGTTTTTAGCAGAGTGCATTTGAGTGCAGGATATTTTTTTTGTCTCCATCTCTCCTAGCAAACCCATTGAAATTCACACGGCTGGGTTGGTTTAGATCGTTTGCACCTATTAGTGCTGGTGTTTAAACAAATACCACACAAACCCAATGCACCTGTGAACATCCGCAGCTCTACCAGTGAGGATCTAGCAGCAGGAAAACCAGCTTGCAGCCATCGGGGGTGATTGACTACACAAGGCTCTGAGGGCATCACACATTACATGGAATTCTATGCGTTAATATTAATTACAGTGACTCTTGTTTAGCAAGAGGTAGTCTTTCTACAATGACTCACAAAAACCCTTTACATAGCCACACTTACTGCACCATAAATACCTTACAGCCATTACCAGTACCAATGAACAGTAACTCCATATACCAACGAGTCAGGACTATGGCTTTTGGAAAGATGTTAGGTAGTACAAATTTTGACTCTTGTCATTAGCAAGAAAAACACAATGGGGAAATGTGTGCTTACTCACTTAGCAGTTCTATAGAACCCCTTAAGAACTACTATAGACATTAAGAACATACAGGCTCAGAAAAGGAATTTTCAGAACAGTCTTTCCAGAAAAGCCAAGAAGAGGTTAATAGCCCTGACAGGCTACAAGCCATTGCACTTTAAGTTTGAAACCAGGTTTTATTTAACAGCAGACAGGAATAAAGTTAAGAATACAAATCCTGGTGCTTCTCAAATTATGAAGCAATGAAGGGAAGAAAGAAATACAAAGCTGAAAGAGTTCAACAAATCATCAGCTCTCCCTGCTGCAGAAGCCCTCCAAAAAGATCTGCAAAAGAACAAGGCTGATATTGCTGCCCTCCTTCGCTCAAAAGCTGCTCTGTAATTTCACCACCTCTCTGCTTTGCAAACTTCCAGCTCTCAGCTACTTTATTTACATTTGTCCTAGGAACTCCCAAACAGAGCAAAGGCTAAGTTTCTCTCTTCCTAGAGAACATAAATGCACTTACTAGTCAGAAGCTCTTCCTGCTCCACGTACATCAGTTCTCTATCCACTCCCCAAGCTTCAAGCTCCTGGATCATTTGTTGATGCAGCTTCTATTTGTGGTTGCACTTGTTCCCACCTGCCTTGAGCTGAATACTCACATCAGCTGTGCTCATCTGGGAGTTTGTAGCACAGGAGTTTTATTTTAGTATTAAAACAATAAATTAAATTAAAAAGGAGACTCCCCAGTGCTAAAAATTAAAATCGGACTACCTCCCCTGTGAACTGAACCTGTGTCATACTGAAATCTGGGTGAACATTTCTCAGACCAGGTGAGAATATATGGGCAAACACAGTAGGAACAAATCACCCACTTGAGTACAATCCTGTTACTGTGGGTATTTGTAGGACATGAGTGACCTGGAAGCCTCAAAAAGGTGGAAATTGGCTCCATAGGCTGACAGATGTAGAATGATGTGTGTGGAGATGCTGCAAGCTTCTTCCCTTAATACAGTGTTAAAACTATCAGTTTTATTAGCTAATATATGGAGTTAGAACTGTTTTCTAAACCATCACATCTGTGTGAAATGGAATTGCTGTTTTCCAAGCAGGTCATCATAAAGATATGTTTGGCCTTTTGTTCTGTGATCTGTTTAAGGAAGACAACTCCAGTCCTTCTCACATTCAGTGATACAGAGCATGTTTTAAGCCACTCTTGCTTTGTTGGAGAATGCTGCAGATGCTAATTGTAGCCTATTTAAAATGACAGATTTATACCTCTTACATTGAAGGACAACACTGGGGCACTGCTCGGATGTTCTTTTCCTTTGCTTTGCTGGAGTGTTATGTTAGCTTCGATAAGAAGCAGAATCTGAACCTTTTACTATGGCTTCAATTGGCAGAACTGGAAATTAAGATGAAGTGCAGTTGTATATTCACAAATGATCTGTAATGCTGATAAGAAATGATGTGCACAGAATTCAGACTAATACAATAGTAATGTATTTTAAATCTGCCTGATAAAGAACAGAGTTATTTCAAAATCCATTAAATATCAATAATTTGTACACGTACAATCTCAAGTGGAGATTCCCTTCTCCTAATTACACTGGCAGAAGGAATTGAATACAAAGGTCAAGGAGAACTGTGAGAATATGGTGATTTCAACAAGAGGCACCAGGCAAGTCTTTGGGCTTGTAACTCAAACGTTCCTTTGCTGAAATCTCTTCCAGGAATTACAAAATGGGCATTTATCTTAATGGTGTCAGAAGCTCATTTTGAGAGAGAGATACTAACCAGAATTGTGGCAACGCTGGGATAAAACTCACAGGGCTTGGAGCTGTTGAAAGGCAGAGTTATGCCTATGGACAGAATACCAAAATAACAGCAAACCATATCTAAATACCAAAATAAAAAGAAGAGGCTCCTTGTGCCCAGCCCCATCTATTCCTGGAAATAAGCTTGTTTCAGACCATGTGAATTCAGTCTTTGTACCAAATGTTAAATTCCAGTAGGTCTCTAGTATAATAGGTAACAGCTGTAAAGCTGCCAGTGAAATTGAAGGCTTTTTTGGTCTGCTAACAAGAAACTCAGTCCAAAGGTTTAAGGTCTGCATAGCTGGATGATTTGATGCTTGAAGTTCTACAATACATGTGGACTGGTTCTATGCATCACTGTATCTATTTATCAAGTCAAAGCACTGAGCAAGAGTTTTCTATTTCATGCCCCATTCATGCCTCGCTACATAGATTGCATGATTCACACTACCCACTGATGCCTTTTGTTTTTTTGGGAAACTTTTTGGAAAGGTTTCTCAGAAGCTGGCAGCAAAATAATAATGGGCAGATCTTTAGTTTCTGTAACATCCGTGTATATCTATTGCAGCTCAAGCTTTTCATAGAGGTTTCTGGGTTTAATCAAGATCCACATCTGGCCTGAGTGGTCTGAACAATCATTTCTTGGTCATCTCTGCAAGTTTCATCAAAAGTCCTCCAGCAGTCAGCCAATGGTGGGATGTGTCAAGCATGTGCAAAAAGCATCTCAATTCATCTCAGTATACTGGGGAAAATCCATCCAGTCTTGTTATTTTAATGTTTAATGTTAATATTTTAACATGTTCATTATGGGTTTTCCATTGAGACTTAATGATGTTCCAGGCTGCTACCATGGAGGCAACAAGAGAAAGAAAATTCAAAGCAATGTTCTTTCTCTGACTGTGGTACTCAACTTCTACTCAGGCTTTCAGGATTGCATCCTAGGAGGAACAGAAATTCCATTTTCTTGCTTTGAGTGAATATCAGCATGGAGTAACTCTTCAATGCCAGGCCCTGCCCTTGTCCCAGCAAGCACAACGCTACTGCAGTGCAATAACACTGGCAGGCTAGGTGACATGGAAATGATTATCTTACATGCAAGCCTTTACATATACTGAACTTCAAAAGCAAGAAAAACAAGCATCTTCCTTCTCATCACCCTAATGCTGCCATGGTCAACACTTTTCCCTTTGCATTAGGATAGATCAATCCAACAGATCTCTAACCCAGAGAGGAATGTGTTACCAAAAGAAAAATCATCATCAAAAGTTACAATATTTCATTAACTATCATCCTAAAAATGTAAAAGCATGAACAGAAATGGTAAGAAGGCTTTATGTCACTTACTGGATGTGATGTGATTAGTGATCCACAAAATTTCCACTGAAATGAGTGGAATTTTATTATTAGCAAAATAAATTTTAAAAGACATATCTTTTTTTATTTTTATATCCACCAGAAATTATTTTTAATCATTGAAGGAAAGAAGGAAAAGGAGGCTTTCTTTTCACACTAAATGTAATTCAGGTGCTTTATGCATGGAGAAAGAAGCGAGGGTGAAACCAGATTAAGTTGCACACAAGGAAATCTGAGAATGAATCAGCATTTGTGCTCCAGTTCTATTTGCAGTACATTGTCTGAGATATGCATACAGTGCAGGGACATTCTGCTGACTGATTTGCAATCTCATACGTTTGGTGTCAGGATATTTCTGCTGTGTTCTATTAGATCTCATTGCCTTTTCCTAGTCTAACCACGCTTTATAAAATATGGCATTCCCAATAACTCCTGAGATACACAAGGTGACAGGTAAAAGGGACCTGTTGCAGACTACTGGTTTAATATTTCAAAATTTCAGCCTTGCAGGCTTACACTGTACATTTTCTTGGATGGATGTTGGGTAGCATATTTTGATTAAATGAGAAAGGCTAGTAACAACAATCACTTTTGGAACTGCTATTGTGCATAAATAACAATTACATTAAGGCTTCTTTTGCTAATACTCCACGTGGTTTATTAATTAAACTACGTTGATAAAAAATGGTAACACTCAGATGTACAAACCCATATTCATGTGTTGTTTTATTGGTGCATTACAACATTACATATCCTTCACACTGAGAAAGCATGAGATTAAAATACATTGATCCACAAAAAATGCCTTCCCCAAGCTGACTTAACACTGGTAATTACAGCATTTACAGATCTCGCTGTAAGTTTCACCTCATTATGTCTTTCATAATTTTAATTACATTTTAATCAAAGCTTTCACATTGTCTGTATTATGACTTTCAACTTAATTACATTAAAATTTGTTATTCTTTCCTGCTTTGCAAAGCTCACCAATTACTCTTGCACCATAGTATCAATGCTGCATCACATTTCACATTCCAATCTTTCAACAGCCACTACTCATTTAAGGTCTACACAAGCACTTCTCAACCCAAAGAAAATCACCTAGTTGTATCAAAAGCCATTAAAACACTGGGAATGTGAACAGCACAGTTAGGAGGCCCCACTCACTTTTGAGAATAAGCCAGATCTATATAAAAACATGCAAAATGCACTATGCATCAGTATTAAACTTCTACTTTTAAGATTCTTTTTTTTTAACATTTGCATATTACCTGGAAGACTAAGGTTCCTGCTGAAAGAAAAAGCTAATGGCAAAGCCCTATACAATGAAAAGACAACACCCTTACTGCAGGGCTTTCTTTTAGTCATCCCATATGACGTAATAGAAAATGGTATCACTGTTACAGAACTCGATAGGATGGTTTAAAAACTTTGTAGAAAGACTAAACCTTCACTAAACTTTGTGGATTTCTACAATAAGATCTTAATTACACCAGAGAAGTGTTTTGTTAAATCCAATGCGCGTACAACGCCAGCACAATTCTGCTTCACTTTTGCTAGCTTCATGACCCAGCACATGTACACCAGAAGGACAGTTAGGTTTGGCCAATTGTGTCTACTCTATAGCTCAGAATACTGTAACTGTCAGTAAAAAATCCTGCCTCTTACATTCTGTTTGACTATGCAGCCAAACCAGTATCAGTAGATCAGGTCTAATTTCTGCAGAATCCTGCTGGGTTTATGCCTATTAGAATTTGTCCCTTCACGTCACTCCCTATTTCCAAATATCTTATATGTTTATACACAGTATCATTGTATTCTCAATTACTACAACTTTTAAAAGGGAGTTTAATTTCCTTGTTTTCCATAAAAATTCAAGTGTTGCCAATCAGGAAGTTGCTCTTCTCAAAACAAAAGCCTACAGAGATTACCTTTGACAAAAGTAATGACACAAGCATTACATAAACACATTGAGCTGTTTGAATCACAAAATGCCTACAAGGCCAATACAAATTCCAACAGGAACACATAAATTATAATTATGGCAGCAGTCTCCTCCAGTCTAAAGCACCGTAAAAATGATTGTTGGTCAACACTGTCTTGATTGCTTTAAGTAGCAGCCCCTGTTAAGAAATGTTCAACTGCCTGGACATGGTCTAAAATACCTACCTCTATTTTCACAGGATATCCACAAAAAGAGATTCTGGAATCTGACAGTCTGCCATCCAAAGCTATATCATTTCACAGGAATGTGATGTATACTGCATAGTGCATACGTAACAAAACTGGATCCTAATAATAATAAATTAACTAAGGTTGTTTGGTCATCCTCTGTACCAACGCTGTTTTGAATGAAGAGTTTCAGTTCAGGTACCAAGCCAACCTTTGCAAATACCATGCACAAGAACATGATGAGCTGCGAATGTGGAATGGTTAAAGTGGAACACCATTGCCAGCATTCCTCTGGATATGTTACAGTGCTGGAAACCACCAAAAGCATTCATGGTCGTGCATCCAAAGTCACAAATGAAAATCTCTTTGCATTTCTTCAGATCATCAATGCTGCAGTGAGTCACTACACACAAATGAATGTAGTACACTGAGAATCACAAAACCATTATGTTTCTTCATCCTCAAACTTTATTATCTTTTTAAATTTGCTTTAAAGACTTCAGTTTGTTGAATGTCATGAATATTCCTTACTTTCATTTTGTTTTGATGGCAATTACTGCAAGCACTCTCAAAGAATTGCTAATGATATAACACCAAGTTTCTGATCCATCCCATGAACACACATGTTATTGCAAGCTGATAACTTTAACAGTGTGAAATTTCTCAAATATCAGCATCATCCTCTAAAACTATTAATGTGACAAGGCTTGGCTCTTACAAACTTGTAACCACTCATGCCTGTCAGCTGCTTGATTATTAGCTCAGAATGACCTTGCCAAAGCATCCTCCCATCACAAGGAGTTTATCGTGTTAGAAGGCAACAAGATAAACAGAAGGATGATGCCCTAACTTATTAAATTACACGAAGAAACATCTGGCCAGAACAGACACTGAACACTTGATGAAAAGTGCTGTGTGTACTCATCACCCATTGAAGTGAGTGAGTGCTGAAGACAATCAAACTTTCTAGGAGATACAAAGTACTTAAGAAAATCTGTTTCCAGATCTACAGTATCCTCAACCACATCTTCTTTAAAATTACTTTCTTGATCAATCTCCCTGTGGGATTGTCTTTTAATGTCCTGTTTCCCCTGAATATTCTATCTGTTTGCAGTAGACTGAAAACAGATAATTCAGCAGTCAATATGAACAGAAACCCGGAATTTAAAAGTATAATGATACTATGGCATTAAAAAAAAAAGTTCAATTTGTCTTTATAACAAGGAAACGGAAAAAAAAAATAGAAGTGCAGACCAAGTGTATGGTAAGAAACACTGTGTTAAGAGACCAGCTGAGTGAAAATGTGAGAAGGCTAAAAGTTCATTTTGCATTTCTTAGTCATACTGGACCTTCAGTTATTCCCTCCAGAGGCAGGCCAGTAGCATTATCTGCTGTAGGTCTCTCTTCTTTCTTCATTGAGTTCTGATCTAGCAGGCTGACGTAAGATTTATGACAAGCTGTATTACCCAAAGGAGGGTAGTGCTGTCTGTAGCAAATATAAGCAAAAATGAGGCCAATGATCCCTCCAACAAAAGCATCTAGGTAAGAAAAGCAACAAAGTCATGTTACCACTGAATGGACAGACTGTAAGGAACACTGTAAATACAAAGCATTTGATTGACCCATGTTTAACCCAGACTTACTTTCTACCTTTTTCCTTTGCCCGTAAAGGAAAAAGAATATTCTTTTAATTTCAGCAGTTATCTTTCCTTAAAAGAATCTCTAAATGGAGATCATGGGGACTTGAAAGCAGTCAGTATACTCAGGATTCATAATGAAATATTCTAATATTCATCTATTTCAACAATAAATCCTGAATGCTACATTTTCTAGCCAAACTTAACGGGCTTCCTAAAATCTTATAATATTAATGTTCTCAGTCTTGACTTTGTAATGTACATATACTCTACTCTACCTTTCAGCTACAGTATGCCATCTTGGACATCGTATTGATGGTCTTCGTTCACACACCACAGCACATACAATACAATTGGATGACGCTGCTGGGCATGAAAAACAAGGCCTGAGCTTTGGCATAGCATGTTATAAAGTGAACATGACTCTCCCTCGAGAAGATAGTTCTTCCAGCTAAGGGCACAAGTCACCTGCAGAGTACTGTGTGCCAGCACAATTCTAGCTTAGGAAGAGCTATCTGAGTTTCCAGATTGAGTTTCAGAAACAAAAATATGAGCACCTGTAATTGGATACAGATACAACCCCTTGGGTGTAGTTTCCATTTATCATATATAAAATACAGCATAATAATGTGCCTCAGAGCACACGTCAGTACATAAATCCTAATCCTTACTCTTGGCAAGATGTAGTGCACAATGCAAAAACACATCCAGAACTAGAGAGTAAACCTGTACGCTGCTGTTCATATTCATTTGTGTTAAACTAATTCAAAAAGGTCTCACACAGAGCACAAGAACCCTAACAGCTTTGTGCTCTCTGATCTGAGTGCACCAAGCCCTGGAACAAGGTAAGAACTCTATAGGAAACTAAGAACTAAGAGATTCCTTCAAGAGCATGTCAAGGTTAATGGATTGTGATTAAGCTGCTATCATAGAGCAAGATGCTGCACAAACACAAAACCAGAGGGGGAAAAAAAAAAAAAAAAAAGCGTGTAATAGGATGTCTTGCTCTGGTATGGGGACTTCTGTATGAGATGGGAAAGAGCTCAGTGAGACCAAGTAACGCTGCACTTAATTGAAACCAAAAGGTAGAAATTCAGGAGTGTCAGCCAAAGAGAAAGAGAGGTCTGCAATAATGTGCACTGTAACTCGCATGATTTCAGTGAAACAAACAAAAAAATACAGAAATGCAAAGCTAATAATATAGATACATGAAAAAGTATCTCCGTAGCTCACCTTGCCAGTGGTGTTTGTAATCACACATACGTGACAGAGCAATCATCATGGCACAGTAGAGAGGCAGTATTGCTGCACAGAGCCGCCAGCTCTTCCCCCGGCCATTTTCTGTGAAGCAATGCAACTTTCCAGCTAGGTAGAAGGTGGTAAAGCCAAGGCCTGAAAATGCAACTGAAAGAAAAATGCAGAATTATACTAATTTGTCATAAACACACTGTAGCATACTATCCTTTCAGATCTGACAGTAGAATCCTTCTACTGCAGAGAAGCCATGATCTCTACAGGGGGAGATGAGAAGCCAAGGTGAGATGGCAATAAGCTCCATCTATGAGAAGTGAGGGAGTTTCAGAACACAAATGATGATTCCACATAATCATATTAACGATGCAGTTATAACTTTTAAAAGAACACGGCCTATGCTCTAGGAAAATATATTATTTATTTATTTCACAAAAAGTCAACCATTGTACAAATTAATATGAAAAACAGCCACAAAACCACACAGCAGTACTGTATGAACGGAATGGGCAAAGATGATGCGCAGATCCATGACGTACATCTGCTCTCCACAGCAGTGGCGTTATCTCTGCAGCAATGCAAGCAATCAGGGAAGCAAACACTGCAATGTAAAGCCACTGCCATCTGATATGTACTGAGCTCTCATATAATCCAATGCGTCTGCAAATACTGTGCTACCTCTAGCCATTCACATTTCCAATAGCAATTGATTCTTTTTTCCTTTAGCAAATCACCTTTTTCCTCTGGGGGAGAAAGTGGCTGCATAAAGAATCTCTGATTTTTTTAATACATTAAGTCAGATATTTAGATGAATTTATAACTTGAGTCACAAAAGCCTTTTCATGTTAAACCTTCAATACGTCTTTCATGATTCGAGACCTATTGTAAAAAGTTCAGGCTCAAAGCTGAAAATGAAAAGGATGCAATTGTCTTACATTTAAATGATATTTTAAGTTCCATTAACACATTCCTACAGAACACACTGAACTGGCAGCAATTACAGAACACAGCAAGTTTCTGAGCTCAACTTCCTTTCTTTTCTGTTCACCTTCCAGAATGCAAGTGGGGTGTTGTGGCTTTTTTTGTTTTGTTTTGTTCGTTTGTTTTTAGATACTTTAATATATTTTATAGCTGTAGAAAAATCAGTGCTGCTGCTGAACAGGTACCCCTGCGAAATACAGCGAATGTCCACAACAATCATACACCAAAGTAGAGCATAATCACAGAATGGCCCTGGTTGGAAGGGACCTCAAGGATCATGAAGCTGCAACCTCTTGTCACATGCAGGGCCACCAACCTCCATATCCAACACTAGACCAGACTGCCCAGGGTCCCAACCAACCTGGCCTTGAACACCTCCAGGGCATCAGGGATGGAGCATAAGCACATAAAGCACTGACAGCAAAATTATTAATATTTATCCAAGTATTCAAAATTCTTTTTTTGACTGCTTCTATATGTTTTACCTTTCTAATACCTACCCAGCTCTGTGAGAGAAGATAAATTGCATTCACAATAGAAAATTCTGAGTTTCTGCCTTCAGTGCTGGGTCAGACGTGCCTTTTTTCTAATCTGCCAAGGCTTTTTAAATGCCCTTGTCCTCATGTTCCCAAACGCTAAGTGTGATAAAGTAATTACTCTGTTTTGCTGATGAATCTATGGGACGGACTATTTTAGCTGACTGCACAATGGTTTTACAAGTTTATACCACACAGCTGTTTAAATGTAATTACTGAAGATTTGCATTTCATCTTCAAACACACAAATAAATCATTTCTTTAGACTGGATAAAGAGAGACAGACAGAATGCTAATTAATCAGCAAACCAACACACCAAATGTTTTGTTTCCTAGCAGCTTTTCCAACCAGTGCTGATTCAGTATTTGTCAGAGGACGGTGGGAGGCAAACCTTAAAATATAAGAGGCTTGAGCAATTGAATAAATCTAAGATTTATTGCAGATTGGGTTACATTCTTATGCTCAGTCCTCTGCAAGTGCAATATACATTCGCTTTGCCCTTCATACCATCTATCTGACAGGAAGAAATCATTCCTTCTGCCATTTTTATATCATGGTGTTCTTGAAATGAATGTATTTTCAAGACACATCCTCAGAGCAGCAGGTTTTTTAAACAAAAAACAGCATCTGCATTTCATTCAGATTTCCACTCTATTGGAAAAAAGTCTTACAAGGTGTAGGAGCTTCTCATGGGATCAGAACAGAAAAAAAACACTGAAGTACCTCTGTATAGTAATGCCTCTGCTATACAGAAAAAAACGAAATTATCTACAATATTGATATGGTTGTGATAATGAAGAATGTAGAGAAATCTTTTCTTTATGCACTTAAATTCACAGGTGCTCATGCCTTAAGTTCTTCAACCTAAACCTTAGTTTCTAAACTGAGGTTTCATATTCACGATTCAGGTAAGGTAGAGCTGACCTGCACTACAATGAATATTACAGCAACATCCATCAAAATCAAAATGCACTGCGTTGCCTTTCAGCAACTTAACTTAGCCCTCAGTTAACAGAAGGCATAAAACAGAACTTTCTTCTTTAAAGGTAACTGCTTCATTTGTTTCTGAAGTGGAGTTTAAGCTGAGATCTTCCTCGATAGTTAATCACTCGTGAAAGATGAATCACAGTAGGATTCTCAGAAAACTGGCTGAGGAGATCAGCACCTTAAGAATTTGTTCTACTGTAACACTCTTACTAAGGCGAGGTTCCTTTTGGTATCGGACAATGTAAAATTTTATATATAACTCCAAATCAGACTGAAATACTTATTCTGAGACTGAGCAGGAAAATTGCACGCATCATAAAGAACATCTGCTGCAGATGGAACTGCTGAATGGAAACTGTTCTTTTCTCCATAGTAATCTACATTGAAGGCACACAGTTTGCTGCAATGAATGTTTTAAAGAGGTGAAGCAGCACACAGAAACACTCTCAGCCACAGTAGCTACACACATTTTCATGATTTCTGGACTCAAGTCTCTGTGGATGTTATTTATTCATTTATTCACCTTGAATTATAAATAACTACTCTCTGATCTTGGAAGATGTATATGCATGGCAATACACAACCAAACCGTAATACAGTTAGGATTTAAGGCCTAACTAGACATACCTAAGTATTTCCAGAAAGAAGAGCTTGTGAATGAACAGAGAACATCCACAGAATATATTTTTGAACTAGACACAAAAACAGTTTTTGCCATACATGGTTGTGTTCCTCTAAACTGAAGGTGAGAAAGAAGAGACTCACACACACTCCTGCAAGGGAACTTAAGCCCAATGGAAGTTGGAAAGGTACCAAAATGATACTCTAGCTTGTAGCTATGAAAATAATAATTTGCAAAGCAGCTTTGTGTTACAATATTATAAGACTGATTTTCCTTACCCTGGAGTGTGCACATCCAGAAAGAGCTGCTTGACCCCATATTCACAGTCATAGTGCAATCAGCAGAGAAGAGCGTGGAATTAACAGCTAAATACTCGGGAATGTGAGACTATTTATCATAAACATTCTGAAGCCATGGTTCCTCATTCCACATTTATCTGCTGGGTTTTCAAAATATTTGGGAGAATGTCTCCTGTTTCGACACAGTAGAGTGGGTGGAACTAATTTAATGCTAATCACCATCTAAGAAAGGCAGTTCTTTTTTCTACTTCCATAGGAAAGAATAAGGGAAATGAATTAATTCTGAAGATATCCATGTCAGTGAATGTAACTTAAAGCAAATGCATCTGAATTTGGCAGGTTTCAAGCTAAGATCCCAACATTTCTGGGTTAGCAGATGGGAAAATTATCGAGCAAAGCCAAATTCATATATATATATATATATATGTATGTATTTTTTGTGATGCAGTTCAGCTGTGGAGCTTGATACCTTGATGCCATCACTGTTTGAGATTAATGCACTACATGGGATTGGCAGTAGGGTTGGAACTAGATGATTTTTAAGGTCCCTTCCATCCCAAACTATTCTATGATTCTATGAAAGAACTCAACTGCTATGCACTCCATGCAGGCTACTTTGCTTGATGGCTGTATTTTGAAGATATGATCAGTCAAAATCATTGAACAAACAATTTACTCTTCAAGAAATCTAGGACTGCAGGTGATATTTACACTGAAGAACTGGTCAGTCAGTAGAATGTACTTGAGAAACCTTTTTTTCCCCCCCATGCAGGCTGGACTCAGTATTTCACTGCATCATAGGAAAACTGCAAAAACGTATCAGATGACCTACTCTATTACATACGTATTTTCAAATTGTCTAATGTAATAAAAGTCATCATTCTGCACAAGAAAGATGGCAAAGAGGCACAGCAATGTTCCTCATCTACGCTAATACTCCTACTATGTTAATTTCTTACGATCTGGAAGAAACCAATACTCTGTTTACATAAATAAAGCAAGGAGCTGCATAAAGAACCAGCCTTCTTTAGAAACATTGGCACAAAGGAAAATGAGAAAATCAGTTTGATTCAATTTAAAACAGCATTATCTTAAGATATACTTAACACAAATTCCAGACAGAAATATTTAATTAAGTGCTCAATGAGGAGAAAAGAACAAAGGCACATTTTTTAAACTACACAGTAATGGTGCTTGAAGCATATCAGAAAGAGCTCTATCTCAGCATTATCATTATTGGAATGCACAGAGCTTTGTTAGACTCAACTTTTCAGATTGCTTCTGTCACTCTCTTTTGAAAAAAAGGTTCAGAGAAGAAGCAAAGGGAATGACAGCATCTAGGAGCACAGCAAACCCCATTCCGACATCTTAATCTCTCAGGGGATGTAGGTGGGTTTAAAAAACCATCTGTATGGAGCAAACCAATTATCAAGTTAAAAGGCATACAGGGACAACCCGTGAACAGGAATCTGATCTAAAGCCCCCAAATAAATTATTTATTAAAAATGAATAGCTTTTGTGAGTGTTTTTTGGAAAATGAAGGACTTGAGGACTTTCAGCATCTCAGGTTTCAGTGGATGCTTTACTAAACACACAGCATGTGTCTTCCTTACATGATACAGCTTAAAAACTGGAAAGAAAAAAAAACAAACCCCCAACTCATCTCAGTGGCAACAAATTATGAAACTGCAAAACAACCATCACAAATGGCCTGTCAGAGAAAACGA